GTGCAAGGAATGAATAAAAGTCAATTTATTACTTTTATATAAATATTACATTTTTATATATATTATACTTTTGCACTTTAAGTAGTTTTTGGAGCACATATTTGTTTACTTTTTCTTGAGTAAAGAGGTCAAGTTGATACTTCAACTTTTACCTGAGTGTTTTTAAACTGCAGAATCTATACTTCTACTTAAGTAAAAAATGTGTGTACTTTTGACACCAGTGATTATCATTGACTGGAATCAAAAGTCTAAATTGTTGATTTCTTTTTGAAGAAACATGTAAAGTTTGAAAGCCTGATCCAAACATTTGTTTATTCAATGAGTTTAATAAAATCGTATTATCCGTATTATCAAATAGTTTGAATTTTAAATAAAGAATTAAAGAATAGGCATAGGGATGTCATTAAATCATTAAAGCATTTAGATTGAAGATTTCCTTAAATGGCTGTTTGCTAAATGACTGTAACTGGATCAGATTGTTCTGTGTGAATGGCTGCAGATAGAGTATATGGCTGGCCTGACTGTATGCATGTTGAATGCGTGACCTGGCCAAGGACTGGAGATGGAAAATAGCCGTATTTTCTTAAATATATTCAAGTCCAGATAAGATTATAAATGTTTGTAAATTATTATGTTGGCAATTTAGGTACAGATTGTATCAAAGAATCCACAATACTCTGTGTACCAATTAGTCTCTCAAAAACTTTACATCTGTACACCTGAAGTATGGAAAGTGACACATATTCCCCCAAAGTTTGTGTTGAAAGAGAATTGCTTGGTCATTTTGTTTCTTCTGTAACCATTAGAAAAGGGACTCTACTCTATTTAATAGGTGTCCATCTGTCAAGGACTTTTAAATTGAGCTAAATAAATTTGCCTTATGAATATGTAAGCAATCCACCAGAGGGCATAAGACAAATAGGATTCCGCTAAGCAGGTATTTTAGGAAAGTACCAACATTCAGAGATAGAAGTCTGACCCAGAAATTATTTGTGACATTAAAGGGTTTAGAATGTGTTTTCGTTTCTTGATTCTGATGTCACTGATGTCCAGAGGTCAGATTGTTTAAAACTTCAAAAAATCAGTTGACACCACAGGTGTATACATGATTACCTGAATGATTTGATCTTTTTTGTTGCTTATTTTGCAAGAGGGAAATTGCAAATATTTTGGGATGCTCTCACGTGTTTGCATTGTAATTTTTGTTATAGATTGTTTAAAAATTTTAAGGTGGGCCCACATGTGATTAACTTTAACAGCTGAATTTTTCTACAGGTTTTAGGGAGGTATAATGCTACTGCAAAAGGATCGTTTTTTGAAGCGTTTTTATACATCTTAAGTAGAGGTACCAACACGTAGGGAAGGAAAAGTACATAATACACATGTTTTTGTGTTGAGTTCCATTTAGGCCGGCTGTCAGCCCTGTCTGGGCCTTGGAATAGATAATATTAGATGGAGCCCCATTAATGGCCTTCTTTAACCGGTTTGGAAAAAAATCTACAACTACCATTTTTAGAGGCATCTTGTCAGCAACTTTTTTTCTTTTCTTTCCACTCCTACTTGTACCATACTCCTCTATAGTCGTTTAGTACTTTTGTCTACACCATACAAACATCTGTGCTAATAAAACCATTTTAATAGAATTTGATCGTTCATTTCCTCCATACAAACAAACCCAGCCACATAAAAGATCCCACCCCTGTTTTCTTGTGCTCAAAGCAGAGTGAAGCCGGAGTTGACACTTGAATGAATGTTTTTGTTTTGTTTTTCTTTTTATACAGCTTTGACTCTGTCCTCATCAGGGCTGGGTGTGTGCTGGATAAATCAGCTGTCCTCTGATGTTTGGCAGCTGTATTAAAAGGCCAGCAGCCTTGTTTGTAAAAGGCCGTGCATGCTCAATCATATTTCCTCGTGGAGCAAAAACTTATTTCCCTCTTTATGACTTTCTCTCCGCAGCTCATTCCTTTTCATACTCCTAAGAACCCTTGGGGAGTCCGCAGCCGGTGAGGCCGAGACCGTTAATTCATTATTTTCTGTTTCTGAGCTCAGAAAGAGGAGAGGCTCTAGTTACCTTATGGATTGGGAGATTTATATATCATTTGGCTAGAAGGTGGAGAGCTTGTGTGGAGGGGCCGCTTGTTAACGGTGACCCTACCAAGTGGAAGGAAAAGGATAGTTTGCATTTCCTAAAGTGCTCACACATGCATTTAAGCACATGTGCAACAAGATACTTACTGTATGTGAGAGCTCCCACCTGGATACATGAGTGCTTAAACACTTCCAAGCACGCGGTCATGTCACACCTCTGAGATTACAGCTGCCTTGATGGACTGTTTTCACCATATTGTAATGAACTCTGTCATCCTGCTTTGAGTGTCTATGAAATCATTGTTCAAGCACTCTGTGTATATTGTCATTCAAAAATATGTGTAACCCTTGACCTTTTGCTCATTTCATCATGTTAGAACTACAAACTTTGTTTTTTTTTAAGACAGCATTTGGCTTCCCCTCACCAGCAATTGAAGAGCTGCTCGGGGTAAATGGATGCTCCTGGGAGCGATTCTGATGGAAGCTACAATTACCCTCTTTGTGTTTTGTCTATAGCATAAAGCCCCAGATAAAACACAATGAATTTTGTTGTTGAGGTCTGTTAATATTTTTGTAAGGCAATGATATGGTTGAGGTTCTTGAAAGGAGTGATCATGGGTGAACCTCTCAATTCTTCAAGTTGGGATTTGAACAATAACGTTGGCGAGGATCTTTTGAGATCAAACATCATATTCAGACTTTTCTGTAACCTAACAATGTATAAATGGATTTTATTAGACCGCCAATTCCCATTTACACGAAACTTACAGTAAATAAGCAATAGAGTTGTTTGGTGGAAGTATCTCCTAACCCATAGAGATATGTCTTTTGGTCTGAGAATGCCTTGAGATGGGTCCCAGGATAATACGAGCCATCTGACCTGAAATCTGGTATAGAATAAGTTACAAAATCAGACCAGTATTAACTGCATTTAGCAGTGCAGGTATTAGTCAGGCACTCCACAAAGTAAGTGTGACAAGAACACAACCATTGTTTAAAAAAAAAGGCCAAAGGAAGACGTATTTGTTATCTGCCATGGTTTTTTTTCACTGGGAATAGAGAAATTAGTCAGATGGTATAAATAGAAATACACAACACTATTTAGGTTTTTATGCGTACAAAACAAGAAAAATCCTTGCTTCCACTTCATCCTTTTTTACAGCTTTATGTTTGTCTGTGGCGCAAAATACCAGTGAAATATAATATAGGTGTGTTGTTCTATTTCCATAAAATTTAGGTGTTAAGTTTTTTTTTCAATGATGTTGCATGTAAGAAAAATCCAAATGTTGTGCTTTATAATTCCTCCTCCCATTCCCAACATTTCAACTGGCCCCTGTTACCGAAATTGTTTCCCCCATGAAGTTTGAGGTCATGCAGTCACACACCAGGAGATTTTGCCTCTTGGCCCGGGGCAAATTTCTACTTCTTCGTCTTCTACTCTCGGTTTTTGTTAGGAATCAGGTTTCTACTTTTTTAAAAACTGATGTCATGAACCCTGAACTCTCCACCAAATGTGAACCTTAGGACTGATGGAAAACTTTTCTCCCTGTTTCTAACTTCAGATCGGCCAGTTCTTTGGCGTCATTGACCCTGACCTTATGAGAGCTTTGGTCAACTCGTCACTGTTCACCGCAAAGAGCACCTATGACTACCAGTCTCTTTGTGAGCCCAAGAGAGAGAGCAAGGCGGCTGCAGGCCTGCGATCAATCTATGTAGTAAGTTACACAAGCCTGAGACCCAAAGTCCACACATCCATGTTCACACCTTTCAGTACTCATACATGTCGTTTTGTTCATTTAATTCCATAAAGAGATGATGGCAAGTGTTGCAATTTGAACCTATATCTGCCTGTTCACACACACATGCCATCACTCACCAGGGAGCCATATATCTAGATCTATAGATCTCTATAGCAGATGAGGGGATGTGTGCGGGAGTTCAGGAACATGGTGAAATTGTTTGAGTAGGAGTTGCTGTAACAGTAACAAGATTAGGTGGTCTAATGTGTTTGAGTAACACGTGGAGAATGGCAGAAACAAGTACTGCTTTACATCACAAAACGCACAAATCAGAGAGAAATGGAGCAGATTGTATCCAGGCACAATTTCTCTGGATGTTTTCAGGTTTTAGACAAACTGATACCCAGAAAATGGAAAAAAAGTGTTCAAATATTAAAATTAAAAATCTGCATTTATCAATGGACAGATGAAAACATTTAAATTCCTGTCCTGAACTCAAACGTGTACAAAACACTTGATTGATCAGGATGGGATGAAAGGCTCCGGTAACGACTGTTCAAAGACCCCGTCAGCTGGCCAGTGATGCCTCTAACACGGTCGGTTTAAGAAGTCCTTGATGACTCAACCCGCCATTAACTGGAGTGCAGGAATACAGCGGCAACTCTCTTAAACAAGACCCTCACATGCTAGACCTAATCAAAGCAGCATGTTGGCTCTTTCACTTGAACCATTGGCTACTTTGTTTTCTTGCCGGTGCTTTGTTTGGATATTTGTTCCTGCATCTGTTGAGGAGGACCGTGTTCTCATTTCCTCACTGAAGAGAAGAAAATAAAAATCTTTGGCGGGGTCTGTTGGTATTTGTGCCTTGTAAATCTGAGCACTGTGCAGCCACTGTGAAAATAAACAGGATGTGCCTAGTATGATTTGCTAATCTCTTCATTCATTGTCGGATTTTTTGCATTTATTTTTGTGTCTTTTCTAGCCCACAATAGCAGATATATTAAACTTGGGATGGTGGGCAACAGCTGCAGCCTGGTGAGTCATTTTTAGTTTATTTTTTCTGAAATGGATGCAATTACATTCTTCCCAGTTTTTTTTTTCTTAAAAATTTAAACATCTTATAGCCAACATTGTAAATCCTTCAGTCCAGTTTTTAATGAAAAGCAGGCAAGGATGTGTTCCTCCAAATGCTCGTACAGTATTGCATCTGTTTAATAGATAAATTGTTCCCAGGATGGTTAACATTCCACAAAATCTTCCGCTGATTTATGCTCAGTCCCACTGTCTTGATGTCATCACCAGCTTGTATTACAATATGTCCTGTAAAACTAAATTTGAAGGCCACAGACAGTGTGGCTATGTTCACCATCAGAGCTTACATTCAGATGTTTCCAATAAGAATACCATGCAGTCGAGCCTTTGAGTCACTCATGTTGCTAGTTTGTAGTTTTGATCTGATTTTTTATTTTTTTGCACGGATCATTTTGAATGTGTATGAACAAGAATTGAATAAATGTTTATTTAATTTATGTATTTTAAAAACTGTGTAAAACATATAATTGTTTTAACAGCAAAGCAAAAGAGTTAAATTTTTCTGTCCTGATTTAAAGGAACCAACAGATTCTACCTTTTTCAGGTTTTTAGGGAGTTTTTCCTCTGGGAGCCCAGGACAATAAAAACTAGATCTTGCCCTGGTACTGGGAACACAGAGCAAAACAATGTGTGATGACCTAAATGGTCTACATGGTTCTTATCTGACCAGCAACTAAAATGTTTTAAGACCAAAGACGAAGAAGATTTTTTGCAACAACAGGTAGTGCAGTAATTTGACAGCTAGTAATAGATGTTCTTTTCCTGTTGGGCTTGGAGTCCCCACACCAGCAAATGAGATGAGTTACCACTGCAGTTGTTTTTTGTTTCTGTAGATGTTCCTCCTTTGTCTCCTCTGCCAAGGAGGTTATGTTTTCAGGATTGACACCATTTCTATAATCTAACCATTTATTTCTTCCTTGTCTTGACAGGTATTTAATTATTCATACTTTTTGAAGCTGCTTTAGATGTATATTAGCGCCTTAAATTTGGACTGTTTATTTTGTTTGTTCATGCTCTGTAGCATTTCATCTTGGATCTTGTTTATAACCTAGTTTAAGCCTTTGGAACGAAAAACACTGACTTCTCTTTTACCTAGACTGTGGGCATGCAGTAAGAGAAATATGTTTGTTATAAGAATGGATATATGGAAGAGATTATGTATTGTTTATCTGAAATAAGGGGAGGGGCTAAATATTAAAATGTGATCCAAGAACAGAGCCTTGTGGAACCCCTATGTAATGTTTGTTGACCATATCTATTTTTCCATGTAGATCTTATTTTAAATGTTTTACATCTTATACAAGTTCCTTACTTTTTCGTTTAAGATTTTTCTCTTCAACTCTTTCTTTAAAGGCATTTGGTAATTTAAAGTTGTTTTTGTTTATTTGAAGGACGCTAAGGATGGTTATGCTTTAATTTCTACCTATGGTTTCATAATGAGGGCAAAGATTCTTGATTGCACCAAGAGAGGAAACTCGACCCTTTTCTAATATGTACTTTGGAGATGCTTTCGTTTTCCAGCAGAAGAAACTAAATGCTTGGTTGTTGTTTGTTGTCGGCCATAATGATCACAATGAACATAAATAAATGACTGAAATATATCCCTCTGTTTGTTGGTGACCGTTCTCAGTCAGGATCACCCTGTTTGTAATTAATCTATAAACCAGAGTTTTTTTTTTTTATTAGTCACCCAAATAAGTCAAGTTGTTGATATCCTGCATAATTGAGATTCACATCTAATTGGTTCAGATTGGTTCATTGTTTAATTTTTTGTCTTTGAATGTTTTTTGGATTTAGGTCAATTGTGCAACAGCTGCTGGTCAGCATCACACTCCCAAATGTTCTGGATGCAGGTGAGCAGCCTCTAATTTTAACCAAAGTAACATGTACTTATGATGCTGTAAACGTTGTTCACAGTGCTGATGAACATTGTCAATCATCCAGGTCATACGCATTTCAAAAAAGTGGAATTCCCATCCAGGAAGCTTTTTCAATTCAAAATGTCAGAAATACCGTTGAGTTCAAGGCTTTATACAGTAGCCCAACAAGGCCTTGTTATTATTTAGAAAATATGCAAATTGAAACGGAAAAACATGTCCACCCCTTTGGAATGGGGGTCGTTTGACTTCCGTTGTTAGCCTGCAATGCCCCATACTTGTCTATGCCTCTGAATGGGGTGTCATTAAAGGGAATTGCTGGCCTGGCTGAGTAGGTGAGGTCTTTTGTTCCCCTGTAAAGGGGTTGGGGTTGCGATGATATCGGGAAGGGATCAACTCAATTACTGCATTGTAGGTTTTTGAAAGCTGAAATGTGAGTCCAACCCCTCTAAGGTTGTTTTTTCTTTCTTAACATAGATGGCTTCCTTCATGCCCCTCTCAAATCACCTATTTTCTTTGTCCAAAATGTGAACATTTTGGTCCTCAAAAGGATGACCTTTGTCCATAAGGTATAGATGTACCACAGTCTCTTCCCGAGGAGGTTGCTCTTCTGTGTTGGGCCATGCGTCTGTGGAGAGATTGTTTGGTTTCTCCAATATAAAGATCAGAGCATTTCTCACTGCATTGAACTGCATAAACCAGTCCGCTCATATTTGGTCTGGGGGGGTTGTCCTTAGGATGCACTAGTCTCTGTTTAAGGGACTAGGCTGATTTGAAATGTGCTGGGATTTTGTGTTTGGAGTTTTTCAGATACTCCAGCAACATATGGGATGGTGATGTTTTTTGCATTTAATGCTCTCACTGTTATCTTCTGCTGCGTTTCTTTTGGATTCTGTTGCTGATTTGACAAACGCCCAGTTTGGGTATCCACAGGTTTTAAGAGCATCTTTGATGTGTTTCTGTTCTTTATGCTCGGCCCGGTGTTATAAGGTTCTGATGGCAGAAAGTTTGTGTTCCAGTGGGTGGTGTGAGTCAAAAAGAAGATATTGGTCTGTGTCAGTGGATTTCCTATACACTTCAATGTTGAGGTTTTCATCTCCTTCCATGCTCACCAAACAGTCCAGAAAAGGTAGTTTGTTGATATTGGCATCCTCTCTGGTGAACTTGATGTTGTGGTCAACTGACTTGCTGTGTCTTGTGAAAGCTTCAGCTTCTTTTACCTGGATTTTGATGAATGTGTCATCCACATATTTAAACCAATGGCTTGGTGGTGTTCGTCTGAATGTGTCCAAAGTACTCTTTTCCATTTCTTCCATTTAAAGATCGGCTACAATTGCTGACACTGGAGATCCAATGGCACAACCATGCCTCTGTCTGTAAAAATGATCCCTGAACTTGAAATAGGTTGTGGAAAGACAAAGGCCCAGTAGGGTGCAGATCTGGTCCGGAGTGAAATTAGTCCTGTTGTTTAGGTCACTGTCTTGTTGAAGACGTTTCCTGACCGTTTCCACTGCTTTTGATATAGGTATGTGTGAAAAGAGAAGTAACATCAAAATATACCAGGGTTTCTCCTGGCACTATCTTTAAATGTTTGACTTTGTTTGCAAAGTCTTTGGAGTTGTCCATGTGATGTGGTACTGTGATACTTAGTCACATTATTACTTAAACTTTCTGGTTTATTGAAAAAGCTGGAAGCTCTCAGTCAGACTGTGGCACAAGTTTCTTAAAATAGTCAAACCACCATCTTGTGGAAAAAAGTACTAATAGGCTTGAAGACTTTTTTATATATATATTTGGCAAAAGTAAAACTGTGTAGAAACAATTGAGCCTTTTTCTTGTGAGAAATTCAGATGTTGCACATGTGAACCAGACACATTGGCTGCTGAATTTCTGTGTATCTCCTGTGGATACAAATGAAGTATTGGAAACAAAAGATCACAGGCGGCTTCAAAACAAAACCCCAAAAAGAGGCTTTCTGTTTTGTGATGGAGATCCTCTCTTATTGGATTCATTCTTCTCTTACTATATGCATGTTTTGGATTAAATAAATGTTTGAAATGTCTGAATTTGAGGTTGCTGTTGCCACTTAAAATAAATGTCTTGACAAGATTTTATAGGAAGATAATGTCAGTTTTTGAATAAGTGCATACTTTTTTATGGTAAATATTCTGTTTAGTTTTGTAAACATTTTGTATTAAAAATTTGGCCTACTTCTACTACCTAGAAATTAAAATCTCTAAAGTAATGATTCTAAATGTTAAAGAATGTCTACAATTACACAGATTTATGTGAAGGCTTTTTGCAAATCTTTCTATCAGGTGTCCCATAAATTTGTCTGCATCTGGAAATTTATATTATTGCTGCTGTATTTGTGTCCTAATTTTTCCTCCATTAGGCAGAATCATCCAGAGGTTTCTGGCTTCTTAAAATGGGAGTTGGGATTAAAATTATCTGGACAAATTTGTTTACTTGGTGGTTGTATTTAAGCATATGGCTGATGAAGTGTGACCTGAATATACTTTCATATCGCCCTACAGCTGAAATGGATGACACAGAGTCTGATGCAATGACTAAGGAGGTGTGCATTACAGAGCAAACTCAGTACTTCTATGAAAACAAGGATTCATCTTTTGAAGGGTCATTTGAGTGTGCAAACTCCACCAGGTAAAGTTTCCCTTAAGGTCATCCTAACTTGTCTTCTCTTGTGTATTCCCTCTCAGTGAAAATTTAAAAAATAAAATTCTTGTGGTTGAATTAGCTTTTCCCCAAATATTAGTATGTTGCCTTGTGAAAGTAAGACTTCTTTATTTTTTGTCTAAAGTAAACCTGTAGAGAGTACGTGTAGCTTTACTCTGATTACCCTAAAGTAGCTAGTTCCTTTCAGCAGTCAACCAGTTTTAATCTCAGTAAAAATGCATCTGTTCTGAGGAAGTTCTTGTTAAAGACAACAAGCAATGAGACAAACAGCACCCTGAGTTGTTTTTTTTTTTAGTTTAAATAAGGTTATCTTATAACATCACGATCCTGAAAGCACTGTTCACTGTTCATCATCCAAAAATGGAAAGAGTATGTCGTATTTGCAAACCTATCAAGACTTACAGTACTAATTTACATTTACTGACAGGTGGATTAAGAGCATTAAAAAGTAGATAAAAGTAGCCATTCTTTGAAATAATTAATATGGCTATGGTTAGTCTAGAGGAGCTGCAGAGATTGAATGCTTAGATGGGAAACACTTTTGAAACTTTTTGAAATCCCTTACAACTGATTGTAAGGGCTTTCACAAGGCTGGCAAGAGTAGCAAGGTTAAATATTTTATTCAAAGAAAGTGAAAGCAATTTATTGCTAGATATGAATAAGGTTTTAGACACAGCACATGAGTAGAATGAGCCATCAAAACTTAACTTTGGTGGTCAATGCAAAATGTCGAGCATGATGGAAATATCTGTTGTCATACGTTACTGGAAGATTCATTGCTATCAGGTAAACTGGACAATGACCTCAAACATTGAGCCAAAGGTAAGCTTTAAAGAAACAAAACTTAGGGTAAAACGTCATCCCATTTAGGTCTATATTTCAACTTCCTCATTTTCTTGTGTGATCTGAAGTCAACAAACCTTTCTTGTGTTTTTCCTGTCCTCTTTTTTTCTAGGCAATACCTTGCTGAAAAGGTGCCCAACACAAACCTGGTCTTTATCATAAGTGACAGACAACAAGGTGACAGCCAGTCATTTTGCACGCCCAAGTTAGTACAGGAAGAACAGGCATGTATCCTTTTACAAAAACTTTATTTCCATAAGACTGTGTGTGTTTGAGATCTTTGATAGATGAATTAAAGTCAGATTTTGTAAAGACATCATGTTGAGTCGCTGTTATAGATATACAGATTCAGTAACCATAATAAAGAACAATAATATCCACCATAAGTGACTATAACAAATTGGTACAGACTTCCTGTTTTTCTGCTTTGTGTCTCTGTGTCTGTATCACACATGGCTGTGTGAGATCAGTCTGCAGAGTAGCTGACAAACAAATCTAAGATGTTCTTTCAAACACACAAGCCTGCAGTCAATTATAGGAGGAGTTTCTTGGAAAACCAATAGAGTTGAAAAAGACTGCCACGTCATGGAGGTATTGAGCAATCTGCTTGAGATCCATATTTTAAATATTTAATGTTGTCTTTTACGTTATTGAGCTTTAGTGATCTTCTGTAATCAGAGCTTTCCATACGAAGATATTTGGTTATGGTTTCCTATTTGACTGTCCTAGCTGATGGGCCGGATGCCTGCGAAATGGCTCTCAGACCTCGCCACAGGAAAGGCCCTATGAATTGTTTTGATCAAACCGAGCACGTAAGTTGCTTTTATTATACATTAATTATCTTTTTATTTGGGTAATTTAGGTTTTTTTTTTTACTTCTATGGTATTGCTTTGTCTACATTTCCCCCACAAATAATTGCCAAGAAAAAAAAAAAAACTCTTAAAAAATGATTTTAAAAAATGGCATAAGGTGATTTGTTTTTTGTTTTTCATATTTTTATAGGTGTGCGTCCTTACTTTAATGGCACACATTTTAGAACAGTTTAAACAGCGGTAGTCTGTAAATGGTGGGTTTATAGCTGTCTGATGCTGCAGGAAATGGGACAGATGAGAGCAGTTAAGGTGAATCAAGGTCCATAGTAAGTTGTAAGCTGTTGAAAGATGCTAGAACTTGCCACATAGTTAAGTGACTGAGCAGATTCTGGTGATGACTCCCATTGGGTATTTATGCATTTCCCCAGTTTCAAATTGCATTATGTATTATTATCCATATTTCCAAAAAAATTCCAGAATTTTGAATCCCCTGATGAGAAAATGGTCACAAAATATTTTTGGATTTTCTGACTTTATCATCATCATCTACAGTAAATGCACTTATCCATCGATCCCATAGCTAGATAGATACAAACTGAACATCTTATCCATTGAGCACTTATTTCAGCCATAGTTAGATGCATAGCGTGTGAATCCATCCAAACATCCATCATGTATGTTTGAGCAGCCATTCTGGAATATATAAATGTTAATGTAACTCAAATTAAAACATTGTTGAAGTTTAATTGACTCAAAACACTGCATATATTTATCACTCATATAGTATTTTCAAGCCATGCTTTTCTGTAAGAATTTGTTGATTTCCTGCTCCCAACTAATGAAAACAATAGATATTAAAATATTACATCAAACAAATCAAAAACATTTTGAAACAGAGTTGTGGCCTTAATAATAGGCATGTTTACCTGCTTAAGGGTTGTTAATTATGAAAAAGTACTTTTATTCTGATTAACAGGCCTCATCAGGGTACTGTATATGAGTATGTAATTCTTTCCTAAGAATTCTTTAGAATGGCTGATATATGCTGATATATGCACTGCTTAAAATAAAGGGAACATGTAAACATTTAAGTCTCTTGGAAAAAAGGGAAATTCACTTATTTGTTTTTATTATGGAAATAACAGCAGATCATTGAAGGATAATAACCCTGGCACTTTTCTGTTGCTAAAATCCTCACCTGTTGCATGTCACACTTTTTTATTTTTGTTTACCTGAAGCGAAGTGGGTGAAGGTTTCCCATGCAGAGATAAATAGTCGGATGTTCTAAAAACAAATGAATAATGAAGCAATACAAGCATTTTTGTGAGCTGACCATAATCTGTTTGTGAAACCTCAAAGCTCAAGTGGTATTTATTTGGATTTAAGTCTCTCTTTTTTTCTTTTTTTTTTTAGTCTGTCAATTTTTTGTCTCACTAATGACCTCTTAAGCCTGCTCCGTCTCTTTCAGTCACACAAGTGAAAACACTTACCCACTCACTAACTCTTATTGCCTCTTAATTGAATGCATCTGACTTTTTTTGTATACTTTCACTAAAGCAAAGTGTTCTGCTTACGTTTGATTTCTAACTGTGTTGACCTTTTGCTGCATGACTCTCTTTCTCTGTTTTCTCTCTGTCTTGCCTTGTGATTGTCTGTTGATGGTTAGGATGAGGCCATGTGCCGAAGGAGCGCTGGCTCCCCATTGGCTTCCTCTCTGCTCATGTTACTGCTGCCACTGTTCATGTGCTGTCTCGGGTCAGTCGCATAAAGCAAGTTCTCTGTCTCCTTATGTTCCTTAACTGAACCTAATAGTCTTTTTATTCTATCTCTTGTAGTCTTGTTTTTGTCCTTGTTTGTTTTTCCTCACTTTATATCTTGTAGATTTTTTTTGAAATATCTGTTTTGCTCGCTTTTTCCATTGTTTTCCCACAGTTTTCCTCATCGCCTGTCACTCGCTTAAATTTTACTACTGCCTCACTTCACCTCCCTGTCTCTGTCTGTCTCTCCTCAACGTATTCTCCATCTCACCTGACTTTGAACTGTGAGCCATGCTCTTTGTAGCTTTCCTCATCTATCATTTTCCGTCTCTCGGTACAGAGTCTCCTATGGCTCTTGTGGCTCCTAATGTATCCAGGCACTTAAAAAAAACAGATCACTCTCTTCTCATTTGCAGATTTTCATGTGTCTCTTTTAAGGTTTCTCAACTGTCGATACATTTGCCAAAAAAAAAATCAGAACTTTCCTTAATTTGCTTCCCAAATGTACACATCAAGCTTTTTTCATTGTCTTGCAAAAGTATTTAAATATAGTATTTACAAAAGTATTTGATCGGGCTGCATGGTTTATATCTTTATTCTAAAAAGCTACCAAATGTTTTTTAAAAACCAATGATAAAAATGTCAGAACCCACTGGAGGAGAGGACATGTCTGCATGCATCTAGACTTCAGAAGGAGGAATTTGAACAGGTTTTTTAATGCTCAGTACATTTTGTCTCAGGTAGGTGCAACTAAATGACAGTATTTATTTTATATGTTTTTATTTAAGTTAATTTAAACTGTTTGTCATTGCTCTCAGTTGTGAATTGTTACCTTAGTCACTGCTCCAATGGCCCTCTTTTTCTCTATCAATAACAAATCTACTAAATCTGAATGCTCTGCAGCTTTTTTCTGTTGCGACTTGTGGACTGATTTCTTGAAGAAATTTCCCACTTGCCATCAATTTAAAATATGCTGTGTTAAATCCAGTGTCTTGAATTGAAAAAATGTATTAATGAAAAACAAGAAATGTTTATCCATATTCATTTTATTACGTATCTTAAATAAATGAGGCATGTCTTTACTTTTTGCCTCCAATTTCTTTTAAACCGTTGTAGGTGTAACATATGAGGACCACATAGTTAAACGTCTTTAGAAAAGTCTTAACAAATATGTCTAATCATCTCTAAAATTGCCTGAAAACCTTTTTGTAAATCACAGGCTTGCATATGATGTCAGAGAAAGTATGTTAGATTATCATTGCTGCTTCCTGAAGTTAGTTACACAAGATTGCAGTATCAATTAGCTGCTACAGGGTGCGCTGTTGTTACTAAAACCTCTTCATTTGTTTGAAAAAAACTGGAAATTGGTGAACTCATGACTGCTCAAAAAAATCAATAAAGTTAAGGGTTTTGAAAATAATTTTTAAGATTAGACAAATTTATGTGTAAATAATGTATAAGATTAATCTGCAAATTCATTAAAGCAAATTATTTAAGTCGGAGCAATGTAGGAAGAGTGAGCAAATCCAATTTTAAGGGTATCGTAGCTAATGCATCTACGTAGAAAACTTTATGAATGATTAGCCACAAAAAAATCCAATAAAGCTGACAGTGGCAACTTTTATATATACAATAAAAAACATTTTGTTACAAGACACCATTATATTTTTTGTATAACTAACTTATATCTGTTTTAGAGGTCATTTTTGAATTTTTTTGTCAATAATTTGTTTTTGGTAAAGAGGAGAATTAAATTACATATTTATAGTCTTGTAAATTGACTAAAAAAAGAAAATGCATAAGCATGGCTTGCTATTGAACTGACCTGCAGTTAAATTGTCTTTAGGCTGCAATCGCATCTTAAACTTTTTTTTAACAGCTGTAAAACTTAAGCCTGGTTAACAATGATAACCTGAATACCATTGAAATGTATGTATTTGCTTCCAATGGCTTGATGAGTTGTCTATCCATTTTAAAGGTCAATTGAATATTTAGTTTAGTATTACTAAAAGTGCAAAGTTTGTTACCTGATAGAAAAAATTGAGCTTAAGTTCACCCACTTCAAGTTCTAAAAATTGGTCTTTAATTACTTTTTTTTTTTTCCCAGGAGGAGGGCCTTGACTGTGGTGGGGCATCCAGCCTGAATCCATCGATTTGGCTGATGGCGATCATTCAGGTGGTTTTGCTCTGGGTCGCGACCGACTCCAGGCACCATGCCATTCCATCATGACCTCAAAGAAAAGATCCAGCCCAATATGTTTGCTCTCTCCAGATGGACACGGCTACCAGCATCCAGAGCTGCCACCCAAAGGACACGACGAAAGGCGCTCCAAACAAAAGACAGTCTGAATTTATTTATTATTCATGGTTTTCTCAAAGCGTCATCATTTTGGGGGGTTGAAATAAAGCATTGTTTGTTGATAAAGGTTAAAATAATTTCACACCTGACTGTCTTTTTTTCTTAAGCTGAAAAAAAAAAACACAAATTGATTTTGATAACCAACTTTTTAACTCCATCTTTTTTCGTTGTCCCCCTGAAAGATGTCGGACTGCTTTAAAGTGTCAAACATGGCCTACATTGCGAGTGGACAGCTTGTTTATTGCGTATACTGAGCAGTTTTTTCACCACTGCTAAGAAAAAAAAAAGCTACCTACCCTTTGCAATAGTAAAATTTCTTTAGAAATTATTTTAAAGTGCTTGTTTAGTTATTCTTTCTTCAGTTTCAGTTGGATTTTTTGCAATAAAAGCAAAGTTTTAAGAGAACACTACATTCTTATAGCATCCATCACAAAAGTCTTTAGTTTTTACTGACATATTCTGCTCGCAGATTGGAAACCATGTCCTTTGCAATATTTGTTTACAAAACCCAACTCTTCTACTGCCACACAGCACTTCGTTATGGGTGTGAGTTTTTCGATTTAAAGCTGTTTTTTGGTCTTTGCTCAGGAGTTGCTTGAATTTTCCACCTTGATTTTTTTTTTCTTTTGACTTAAGAATTGCTCCAGGGTAAACGTGTTGCCATAATGCACATTCACCAATCTGGACAATTAGTATTGGGTCCTCTGCGGCTCAGTTGGCAAAATTTCTAGTGCCATCTAGACTGTGTGACTCTAATCCTCTGTAGACTGTAGCTGCTAAATGGAGTGTACTGTTGAATATAATAACTTGTTTATTGGTTGAGTGAAGTGTCTGTTCAGGGTTTGTTTAACAATAGCATTTATATTTTTCACCGTCACTTCTTAAATGAAATTAATATCTGCACTGAAATTTAAAATACAGCCCAGTTTTACAAACCCTAGGCCCTTTTGTCTTCCTTAATTGAAGACATAAAATGTTGATTGTTTTTAATATTTACATGCGCATGAATGACAAGACAGAACAAGGTATTTACTTTCACTATAACTACCAGTTATAGCAATTGGTCAATTTAATAAATAAGATTTGTGTTGTACACTTTTCTTTTTCACTTTTTTTATAGTCAAGGTACATATATTCCACATTCTTAACTATTCTATTGACTCTTAATTCTTTAAGAGGGAGCTGATGTTATTTGGTAAATCATTGTTGTTTTTTTGCCTTGTATTTGCATTATTTACGCACCCTGCAAAGGTATTCATAAGCTTTGAACTTTTTTTTTTTTTGTCACATTACAGATACATGCTTCCACGTTTTGGGAAGATCTCATGTGATTTCCCAGCACAAAGTAACACATGATGAAAAAATGTGGCATGCATGTTTATTTAGCACCTTAAAGTCTATACTTTATAGAACCGTGTTTTGCTGCAGCCATGTTGTGAGAAATTATTTCACGCTTACACTGCTCGTCCTTTACTTTTTCCTTTTGCCTCCATCATTCTTCGCATTAATTCTAATCCGTTTTTCTTATATTTACTGGAAAAGAAGCTTTTTCACATCGTTATGCCACCACCACCATGTTTCATAGAAAGGTTGATGTCGTATTGAGATTTAAAGTGCTTTCTGTACAAAGATAGACTATATGTACTAATAGTGTTGCACTGGATTTAATTTACGGGTATCGGAGTAGTGTTCTAAACAAAGAACACTACTCCATTTTTTGGAATCTTTTTCCTCCCTCTTCAGTTACACGCTACATTATATTAGTATATCGCATACCTCCCTAATGTAATGCATAGATGTATGTGATTTTATTAGAAATTGTAAAAAAAATAAAAAATCAAGGACTATGAATACTTTTTCAAGTTGCTATATGCAATATATATTTAAAGAAAACATGTATATGGATTTAGGTTTCACTGTAAACAAAAGTGGGATTTGTTTTATTTATTTAAGCTTTTGTTATCTCATGAATCCACTTACTCGTCAAAGCACTGTTTCAAAAACAAAGTAAATCTATCAGTTTCTTGGACAAGAACAAAATAAACATCAATGTTTGCAAGCCACACAGTGAATCAAGCTCCCCGAAAGTCTGAACATGTTGGAAATTACTTTAATTTATGTCTTTGTTGAGAACTTGGGTCACATTTTATAGCCAAGCCCATCTTATTACGATTGGTTACAAATGCAAGAAAGTTATTTTTCATGTTCTTTGTGAGTATGTCATCAGTTCAATTAAATGGCAGTTAAATATAAGATGATTATCCACCTTTGTGTAATTCTCTTTAGTGCCTGATGCCTATAAATTAACCAAGCCAGTGTGTTTGTTTGGAAATGCTGCCTTCTGTGATTACTCACATCAGATATTTCATTGGGAAACGTTTGCTTACAAATCAGGAAATCCACAATGAAAAAAAAAAAAGGATGCCACTTGAAACCAATCCTGGGTGTTTGTGGGATCTGATCCTGACACTGTAACCATTTTAGGGATATCTTAAAAAAATGTTTAGATGATTTTCATTGCTTCATAATTAACTCCAACCACCTCCTGGTTTCATTTCTGTGGCTGAAAACATTTTTCAGCTGCATTTAATGTCAACAGAAGATTAGTGGGTTTTTTGGTATAATGACGAAAACTAACATAATCACCAATTTCCAAGCTGTTTGAGGTGCACTGTTTATGCTTATGGTATTCTCTGTATCTTTAGACTAACAAGAACAGCGAGTCTCTACACTCCTCTTTAGTGACTATCAAGAAGTGCCAAACTGTTAAACTTGTATGGAGAATCCCATTATATAATGTATGAAATGTTACCAAGCACGACTCAAGTTTCTGCAATTATACTCCTGTGCTGCATGGAGATGGCTGATAAGATATTCATTGTGCTTCTGCTTTTTCATATGTGTAACCTTGGAACGCATATCATTGTTGTTGAGCATTTGTCCACTGTGTAACAACATATAATCAGCGAATACTGCCGTCGTCTTGGGAGACAGCATTTGGCTTTACTGCAGACAGAAAACTTGATGAGCAAGAAGTTGACATGCATTGTTAAATTTACCTGGCTCACATCTTCCATGTTTTTTAGATCATACCAGTGATTTAGCCCATATTCTACAAATTGATCATTTTCTGCAGTATTGTTCAATTACTTTTCAGCTGTGTTTGCAGATGGAATTAAGATGCAGGCATCATAAGGATCCTATTTTAATTTCTTAAAGTTGATAGTTTTATCTGATGGGCCCCAAATTGTTTTTTGTCTGTTGAGACTTTGACTAATATGGCCAGATAAAGGCTTTTCTTTTTTTATGGTAACATATTAGCATACACTTTCTAACACTCCACATTAGCTATCATGTTCAACAATGCCAACATCAAAAAATTGATAAGAAAAATTCCTTTTAAGCTTTCTGTTAATCCACTTGAACATCATGCACAAGCAGTTTTTAGCCTTCAGGGAATAACAGTTTTGCTTTGAGTTTAAAATCTGTCTGTGAGCTATTTTCATTGTTCCAAATAGAGGCATCACATAAAAACAAACTAAACTCGTTGTGAGATACTGCACATTTGACTGCAAAGTTTAAACATGAAGAAAAATATATTGTTTTATATTTTGTTTTATGTTACACAATGCTTAAAGCTTAAGCATTTATTCTAATATTAGACTGTATTATTGCATCTTAACACTCTGTTGCACAGAGTTGAATATCTTGCATCTGCTGTAAGAGCCTGATCCAACCTAAACAAAAATAGTCCTGTGTTAATTTTTTAGATCTGCATCAATCTACCAAATTTAATGGTAAATTATTTTGCTTACAGCAATATCAGTGACAGTGACAGATCTGGTTACCGATGTTGAAATTCCTTCTTTTGAAAACAAATATAGTTGTAATAAAGTAACATTGACTCATAAAAACACAATTTTCACTTTTCCTAAATAACTCTGTTTTAGTTATCATTTTAAAATCAATGTATGCAGCTGTCTTATATAGACTGTTTCCTTTCTACCAAAGATGTTCTAGTTCCAGTAGGAGTGTGTGCTCAGTCCTGCCTTAATGCTATTGGAAAATAGCCTGCTTGAGTAATACAGATAATGAAAAAGTGTGCTGATCATCGGTGAACTTTACTTATCCTGTTGACCATTACATTAATTACAGCACTTCACAATGAAGGAAGCTTTCTGGAGACTGCAGCATAGATTAATCAGTGAAACACAACAAACTACAGATGTCTTGAACAGGATTCCTGTTAGGGTCCCAAATCTCTGTCGGGGTATTTGTAGATAGTGAGGCTTAAACTTGATGACATGGCAATAAATATACCCAACACTTAAAGGTATAGTGGAGGATTTTGAAGAATTTTTGAAAAGGCCCGCCCTCTCCGCTTTCAAAAAGAAATGCACATGCACAACTCTGTGACCGCTTCCGAGGGAACGCCTATTAGACTCGTGCGAGAGCTTGCACAAGCCCATTTCTCCTTGTGCACGCTGTGTTTAAGTTTCTGTTTGCATCACTCATACAAGCTTACTTTCCAAAAGGTGATTTGCAAATTTTCCACTATATCAGACTCACCACCGGTAAGTGAAAATGGGGACGAGCACGTAGGACGGCCTTACATAAACATATCACCAGAATAATTGGCAGTTAGGTGGACCTTTTATTTAGATGATCCACCAGGGAAAAGAACATCCTCCACTACACCTTTAAGTAAAGGGAAGCACCACACATTAGCCTACATAAACTAGATTAGTTTTGTGATCGTTTCCAAATTATATTGACATGGGTATGCTTCGTAACATCTAACTCTACAGACTTCAATTAACTGTTCCTGCATGCTGGGTAATCTGTTGAAACACCAGGTTAAAGGTAGCATGTTTTCTCTCTTGATGACTTTTTGATAATGCAGCCTTTAACATGTTAGTGCTGATGCAGTTAACCATGTCCTGACAATTATGAAGGATTTTTTATTCTGCTTTGTAAACTTTGACCTTTTCTCTGAACCACATAAAATGTGTATGCTTTTTCCTGCATTCTATGTTCTCTCTGGAGAACATTTTCATGCAAACAATTACTGCTAGGAATTTAGATTTAAAAAATCCAAACAAATGGCCTGAAAACTTAAATAGTGGTCAGGCCATGCACAAAAACTACTTGGAGGGATTGAGCGCTCAAAACTGCAAGTACAGTTTATTACTGTTTAACACCTCAACTCCTAATCAGATTAGGATTTACATTTAGCTTCAGATGCCTTTTGGAAATGTTATCCTAATCTACCATTAAGCCACAAGATCTGATAAACTTTCCTAAAAAAACACCATGTTGTTGACCATTATTACTTTTAATTAAGTACGTGCATAAAAATCAAAACAAGTCCTCCACAAAAAAAGTCAGTTTATACTGTTGCAATGAAAATTCAGTACATCTAATTTAAGCCAAGTTTTGTGAGCTGTAGATTTTGGGCTAAGAATGCTGGTATGGTCAGGAAAGTTATTTTCATCAAAGAAACACTGTGCATATTAAAGCTGATCAATATGAACCAGAGCAGAGACAACCGCCCTATTTGTCCAGATGTTCCATTCTGCTCCAAGTGTTAAAATCAGATGCTGTCACCTCAGGAATAATATAGACTGTGTGGTATAAAGTATGTCTGATTCTGTTGGTGCTCTCGATACAGATCGTGTCGGTTGTCCCTCTGGAATTTTGATGATTGCTTTGTGATTTTTTTTCTTTTTTTATATATATATATATTTCACTGCTCTCTTAGGGCAGATTGTCTGTGGATGGAAACGTAATGTCACACCAAACTGATAAAAAGCTGTAGTCTTGGTGGGCTGAGTCTCCCTCAATAGTTTTTTTCAGTTGTGGAGCTTGTTTAGAAAATAAAGTTCTAAGCTGTAAATCAAATAAACAAAAAGGAAGAGATTTAACAAAGGTGTTTGCTAATGTCAAATAAGGTATATTCATAATAAAAATGTTGCCATTACTCTGTTATGTTTATACTTTTGTTTGTACCTACCCATGTGCATGCTTGTGTCCACAGCAGATGTTTTTATGTATGTTTGTAAGCCTGCACAATTTTCAGTCGTTGGCTCCTTTAATGTTTAATTTAAAGCTAACAATTCAGCAGCCAGCAGTTTCTTAAGAAGAAGGCACACTGAATTTTACAACAAGGAATTTAGCTCAAGTCCGTTAGCAACGACCTGTAAATTTACAGTAATTCGTGTTTTCCAGCTGTTTGTCTATCAAATAGTGACTGTTAACACAGTTCACACATGTATCTGAAACCAGCTGTGCTAAAGTTTGCAAGGCTTCAGCTTTTCACTTCCCCCAATTGAAAAACCATTCACTAGTTTTGCTCTTTCCTACAAACATAAAATGTACACCAGCTCACAAGGATAACCAGAAATGAAGTTGCTTTGGGACATTTTGAATGAGACCAGTTTTGATGTCATTAGCTTTTATTTTAATGAAAAGGTTCTTTCTTTCCAGTAGCCCGGAGCTGAATGACTGCTCTGGGACCAATGATTTAAAATTACAGTACCTTGTAAAAAATGTCATACCCCTTGAAATGTTTTCACATTTTTTCACTTTCTAAGTACAGACTTTATACAATGTGTTTTAACAGGGTTCATTTTAGATGGATTCAATAATAGATAATATGAAGTAGAACCTAAATGGTACATGGATTAGGTAACTAAAGATATATATTTTTTTGATAGATTCATATTCATTAAGAGCTGTTGAAGACATCATGGAAAAAGGACACCATCCTAAAGTTTAGCAGCTGCAGCTGAAAAGGCGCTCTCTCCTCTAGTTGTGAGTAAAGTTCAAGTATTTCAAATCTCAGAGCCCTACAAGATTAAATATATATATTCTCAGAAAAATAAAGTGGAACCAAATCATTTTACAGCTAAAAACAAATAGTAATATTTTGTGACAATTCCTAAACAGAAAAAAAAACTTACCCAAAAAAAAAATAAAGAATGCAAAATTGGAGTTATGTGCTCAAATCTTCTTGTTTCTGTTATTAGGCTTGTTAGGATAATTATCATCGATGATGTGTGAGTTTATTACACCTTAATATTAGCGGCCTGATGCGGGTCAGACCTGATGTTTTCTCAAGTAGCTTATCTAATTAAGAAGGTTTCTCTGTTCAGATATACAGTTAATCTTCATTCTGTACGTGGCAAATGTTTGGGAATGGAATGAGAGTGGTGTCTTTCAGCTAAGAACAAAGTGTAATATTTAGATAAGGCTACAATTTCTATCAAAATCTGTTGTCATGTCTCATGGTTATTTAATACATATAAGTTATGAAGTGTTATTTAAAGAGTTTGTCCCCAGTGATCTCTTTTCAGGAAAACGAACCGGAGAGAAAAAGCTTCCCAGTGTACAGAGAGCTTTATTCAACAGTCTTTAAGCTGAATTTTGAACCAGCTGGAGAAGGGAGAGGTGATTGGTCAATCCCAGTGTTAAGAGTTACAGTAGACTAGTCTAGAAAAGATAAAAGCATAAATGACCCTATCATGGGCATCATTAGGGGGAAAAAAATACTGGACTCTGCTAATTGGCTGCAGGTAATAAAAAATGAGCTACTGCATTGATCTCACAGTCAAATTTACAGTTATTATGAAGAATAACTGCAAGATTGATGATAAAGGTAGTCAGTTTTCCATAATACAATGACTTCATTTTTGTCTTTATTTGACTTAAGACAGCTCAGATCCATCCACATTTTAACATCCTGCAGTTTCAATAAACTGAATTTCACCAAATATTAGAGGTAAATAAATCTGGGTCTCATCTGCATAGCAATGAAAGCACAGCATAAACTGATCACTTTCCAAGCGCTGTGGGCCTCTTTACTGCTTATCTGAGAAATATTCCTGTTCGGACTGATTTTTTTTTTTTTGGCAAGTTATCTTGGGTTCTTTTCTTTAATAGTAGTACCAGAGATAACAAACGCAAGGAGTATCATTCTACTAATTTATCCAACTTTAAACCACTTATAACTTTAAGTCTCATTTTTTTTATATCACCCTTGGTCTTCACAATTGTTTCAATAGTTTTTCCTCTTGCAGTTTTTAGGAATAGCTGTATTTATATTTGGATTATATCACGCATGTGGATTTCATATAATTTTCAGGTGACTTCTGAAAGCAACTGGTTGCATTGTATTTGTTACATTTTCCTTTGGAAATGGACCCAATTTTAGGCATTCAAAAGGAGACTGGATAGATGAACTAAGAGAAGGAATAGAAGAACGGTGAACATACGAGTCTGGTTAACTGAATGTGTTGCAGCTGAGACTGAAACTAAACTGAGCCACCTGAGGGGAAGGCTGACTGGAGATAAACAAATACTATGCTAACAATTGGGGAAAAAACACAGGATACAGGAACAGATTGAACTATCAAAACACTGAGATCTAAAAACCTAGCTAAAACTATCCAACAGGCCAGTAATCATGGGATGATTTCATCTAAAAATGTCAAAGTGAAGAGGGCTCAATAGCAGATGAGCAGATGATGTATTTTTTCCTTTTGGTTCTAAATTGGGCTTTCACCCAAAATCCAACTAACTCACAAAATGTGAACAAATTAATTTCTAAAGGCTTTGAATTGTAAATTACTCTTGACAAAATTGCTGTAAAGCAGTAATGATCATTTCACTTGCATACATATTTAAAGAAAATACAAACTCAATATCTTGGTTATGACAGAATAGTATCTGTAGTTTTGTTTTATTTTGCATGTTGCATTGATTTCTTTGAGTGACTGTAATGCTAAAAGATCATCACCATGCTTAGTCATATTTCCTGGTGACAACACCCTGTCTGTTCAGATTCCCTAACCCTTTTTTCCCCTCAAACTCTTCCTCTCCAAAAGTGTTTTTCCTTGTCTGTCATGGATGAACTGTGATGTCAACAGCCCACGGAGGATTTCCTGCCAGCAGCTCTGTCTCTTGCGTCTGGCAACAAGATGAACCTGTTGGTTTACATTCAGAGGTCAGTTGTGTTTTTGATTGTTATCCCAACTCTGCGGGCTCACGTCCCAGCACATCTAGCCTGCAGTCCCACAAGTAAACGGCTTGTGGAGGAAATATGAACAGTTTATTGTGATGGTAATTACACTCATAAGCATTATACATTCTCTAATTACACCAGCAGATTTATTTATATAAAACTGGCTTTCCACTAAATAGAAATTGTATTATTTAAGGGCTTTGTAAATCAGGATCAAAGCATTCTGTCCAAAAAGTGCACTTCTCTTCCTTTTCACCCTCTTGCTCATGCCTTTCATTCCTTGCTGTTCGAGATGAAGAAGATATACTTTCTCCGTTCTCCCTTCCTGTTCTGTGAAAGCGATCTTTTAGTGGGACTACCTTTAGTTTATCAAAGAGCGCATTTGTCTTCATGAGGAACCTGTTTCTTGTCTGCACAGTCTGCGTTTGTGCACAAGTGAAACAAACCCGGTTTAC